TGTGAGAGAGAGACATCAGTCGGTTGCCTCCTGTACACACCCCAACTGGGGATCAAACCCACAACCTAGGTGTGTGACCTGACCCAGAATCGAACCCACAGCCTTTTAGTGTACAGGATGACACTCCAACCAACTGAGTCACCTGGCCCGGGCCCGAGAGGGACTTTTTCAGCTTAGAAAATGGAGGTGGATATGGAGTCAAAATAGAGAATGGGCCAAAAGTTTCCACTTTTCCACTCCAGAACTATTGAGGTCAGGGTACTTGGGACAGTGACTGGGCCATTGAAGGGGCAGTAAAATAGTTTCCTTATCCACTTTATTCATTCTGTCACTTAGAGATGGTCCAAGGAAAGAACACTAGGAAAAGGTCTGTATGCTGTTTGAGGAACTGGACAAAAGTTACTCCTTCACCCCATTTCATACCCTTCAACTACCATGTGATTATTTTTTGTTGACCAGCTGCTTGGGCGGATCCTCTCCCCACACTTTTGCCTCCTAGTGCCTCAGTCCAAGTTACTACATCCTTGTGTTTTGAGTCTGTTCAGAGGTATCAAGGTAGCTAAGGACGCTGGTCGGAGAAGTACCTGCCCTTTTCTTGTTCATTTGACTTTAGCTTTTTTCTTTCTTTAGATAATTTTATTTCTGTGTTCTTTCAAATTTTCCCATACTACATTGGACCTAATAAATATATGATACTGAGAACTGGATCCCCTCTAATGGCTGTACATGTAAGTTACAGTACTTTATTTTATTATTATTATTTTTTATCCTCACCCGAGGACATTTTTGCATTTATCTTCAGATAGAGCGGGAGGGAGAGAGAGAGGAAGAGAGAGAGAAACATCGATATGATAGAGACACATCAACTGATTGGCACCCACACAACCCCAACCGGGGCCAGGGACGAACTGCAACTGAGGTTGTACCCTTACCGGGAGCCAAACCCAGTTCTCTCTGGTCCATGGGCTGACGCTCTAACCACTGAGAAAAACTGGCCAGAGCAAGTTACAGTACTTTAAAAATTAAAAGGCATGTGAGAGTCCAGCCGGTGTGGCTCAGTGGTTGAGTGTCGACCCATGCACCAAGAGGTTGCCGATTTAATTCCCAGTCAAAGCACATGCCCAGGCTGTGGGCCTGATCCCCAGTGCAGGGCATGCAGGAGGTGGCCAATCAATGTTTCTCTTTCTCTCTCCCTCTCACTTTCTCTGTCTCTAAAATCAATAAAGGAAATATTAAAAATTGCCCTGGCCGGTTTGGTTCAGCGGTTAGAGCACCGGCCAGCGGACCAAAGAGTCGTGGGTTCGATTGTGGTCAAGGGCGTGTACTTTGGTTGCAATTCATCCTTGGCCCTGGTTGGGGTCATGCGGGAGGTGGTCACTTGATGTGTTTCTTTCACGTCGATGTTTCTGTCTTTCTCTCTTCCTCTCCCCCCCCCCCACTCTGTCTGAACAAAAGTGGAAGGGTGTCCTCGGGTGAGGATAAAACAAACAAACATCAAAAAATGAAATATGAAAAAAATGAAAGGCATGTGAGAGGACCATGGGAAAGGAAAACCCCAAATATCTGCCCACGTAAGTGGAGAAACAGCTTGGCCAGTAGCCTAGGGAAGTGTACTTAAGTGAACCTACATGCAGAAAATGTTCTGGGGTGAGGTAGACGTGTGTAGAAGGCAAAAGAAGTCCAGTGAGGCCTTTTGTGCTCTAAGGGAGGGGAGTTTCCTCTGGACGAACAGCTGTATCTGCTTATTTCCTTCCTCAAATTTTGCTGCATTGTTCAGTATGATAGAACTAATCACGTGGAGCTTATTCAACTTAAGTTGAACAAAAATAAAAATTCAGTTCTTCAGTCCCCGTTGCCACATGTCAGAGCTCAATAGCCACAGGGCTAGTAGCTACCATATTAGCACAAATACAGAACGTTTCCATCATCAGAGAAAGTTCTACTGGACAGTGCTGGATTTGAGATATGAGGGAAACAGGAAGGGGCGCATATGTTCTGCCTCTTTGAAGATCAAATCTCTAGCAGACCTGAGTATGTTATCTGCCCTCTCCCTGTCATCCCCTTCTCAGATCAGGTACAGCAGCCAGGTTGTGTACACAACAAGCTTTGTGCTCCACGGTCTCTCCTTTGTCCTGCCTTCTAGCCTGCTCTTGTTCTTGCTCCACCTCTCCAGTCCCTGGAAAACCAGCTGCAGAAAAAACTTTTCCATCAACTTTGACCTAGTTTTCTGGTCACAGATTTGAAAAAGGGAGGAGCCACTAAATTCTTGAATAGGGAAGAAAAGGAGGAGGCAGGGGTGAGAGTCATTAACCAGGGCAATAGAGAGCTAGAGACTTGACACCTTGGTAAGAAAAAACAAAGAGCCAGGAAAGCGCAAAAGAGCTACTGATACTTAAAGACACGAAGAAAGAAAAGATCGACGTGGAAAAAAAATTTTTTCAGTTTTACTTTCTGTTCAATTCACAATGATTTCATGAATTTCCAAGAATCTGAGGTTTGGAATTAGTATGTAGAAATCCACAGAAAAGCCAAACCCCAAATTAGGGCCAGGACTAGATCTGTCTACAAAGGTTTAAATGAGCCAGAAATCAGAAGTACATTAACCCCTGCCATTTCAGGATTTCTCGTCCTAGTCACTCCTTTAGACATAATAAAAATAATTTCAATTAGAGCTGGAATTATGTAGTATCGATCTATTGTTATTACCCAACAAGGAAGAAATAGAGACTGCTGAAGCATATATATCCTAAGGAATGAGGGTAGAGTTGAATATTCAGCAAACATTTACTGAGTTATAATTATATCCTTGGATAGGTACTGTGCTACAAACTTCAGAAATAAAAAATGGGAGCAGCCTTCAAAGAATTTAAGCCCTGGACAGGTAGCTCAATTGGTTAGAGCACTGTCCCAAGGTTGTGGATTTGATACCAGGTCAGGGCACATACAAGAATCAACCAATGAGCCCTGGCCTTTGGTATCCCATGCATCAAAAGGTCTATGGTTCCATTCGGGTCAGGGCACATGCCTGGGTTGTGGGCTTGATCCCCAATAGGGGGTGAGCAGGAGGCAGCTGATTGATGCTTCTCTCTCATTGATGTTTGTCTCTCTCCCTTTCCCTTCCTGTCTCTCAAATTAAACAAACAAACAAACAAAACAAAAACAAACACACACACATAAAACAAAACAAAGAAAAACCATTCACTTAAAAAAAAAATTCAACTGCCCTGGCCGGTTTGTTCAGCGGTTAGAGCGTCGGTCCGTGGATCAGAGAGGCTGTGTTTGGTTCCCGCTAAGGTTTCGGTTTGTACCCAGCCCTGGTTGGGGTCGTGTGTCTCTCTCACACCGATGTTACTCTCTCTTCCTCCCTCTCTCCCTCCTGCTCTATCTGAAGATACATGCAAAAATGTCCTCGGGTGAAGATAAAAAAAAAAATTCAAAGATGGAACAACAAATTGATGTTTCTGTCTCCCTCTCTAAAAATCAATAAAAAAAATAACAATACTCAAAACTCTAATAAATCTTTAAGTCCTGAATAACTATCTTGTCTTAGTGCATATAAACCAGGTTTACACTGGGAAGAAACCACGATGAAGCTAAACTATAAAATATGGAACAGTAAATCCTTCCTACCAAATCCCCTCACAAATCTCATTTCCTTTTTTCAAGAGCTTATTAAAAAAAAGCTCATGCACTCCAAAATTGAAGAAATTTAGTCATGACTAGCTATAAATGTGGGAAACTAGCTTAGATCACCATAAGATCCCATCTAGTTCCTTATTCAATTGGAAAATATAGCTCAATTATCTTCCTTCACCTCTCCACCCCCCCCTCTATATTCATTAAGGTCAATAGGTAATACTCCTTACAGGGCTTTCAAGAATGGTGAAGTAGGGGAAAATGCTCCTTTAGGCACACTTTAAAAACTTTATTCTTAGATTTATTCATTTGAGAGAGACATTTAGTGTTCCAATCATTTGTGCAGTCATTGGTTGAATCCTGTATGTGCCCCAACTGGGGACTGAACCCACAACCTTGGTGCACCACGATGATGCTCTAACCAACTGAGCACTTTCTAATAACTTCTCCAACACCATTTCAGACAAGAAAACAATTTTTGCCATTAAAAAAACTTTATTTTTATTTATTTATTTTTTACAAAGAATACCCCTCACTGGGGGTGAAAATATATCTGGTTAAGTACAAAATATAGTTTTTTATCATACAAAAAGATACACAATTAAAAAAACAAACAAACCTAAAACACCTTCAGTCCATAGTTTCTCAGAAAACGATGGAGCTCAGTGCTCTGACACAGGACAGGGAACAAAGTGCTAAAGGCTGCAGGGAGAGAGGGGCTGGTAACATCTCCCGTCTCCAATCTCCAACACCGGGCAGAAAGGGGAACCTTGGAGGCTTTTGTGAAGGCCTGCCCTCTAGTTTCTCACGGAAATGTCTGGAGGTTCTGATCAGTGTTGGGGCATCCTGATCTAGTTTCTCCTGGAGTTTGGAGAAGTCACAGTGGGCAAGGCTGATATGATATAGCAGCAACCCTTCTCATACAATTACAGTGTCAGAATTACAGAATTCTGTACACTGGGGCCAAGTCTCAAAAGTGATGAGCAACACTTCCCATTTTTTGTCCTTTGGCTTATCCCTAGAGACATAGTAGACCAGTTTTAGCTTACATATTGAGATACAAAAAAATAAAAAAAATGACAAACTAAAGTGCTAAAAACATCACCTCAGAATCAATTCCAAAGAGTCACATGAAAAGAAAAACACTTTCTCCCACACAAAGACGTCTACAACAGAACACAGTGCAATAGGTTCTAAAAATGGCTTATAAGACCTTTGGTGGGGCATAGTTATTACTGCTTTAAGCCAGATTAAAGTACATTCTCAGCAAAGACAATCTTAGAGCTTCTTCTAATTCAAATAAGAAGCTCTCCAAAGTCCAGACCAAACTGGCTCTGGTAAATTTTTTCCCCCCTCTATAAATGTACAAACAAAGGGCCAAGACGATTTTAAGAACCTCCTTTTCCCAAAGTTCTGAATGTGATTTCTTTTCCTTTTCATTTTCCCAGTTTGCTAAATTGTCTTTGTTCCACATGGTACAGAAGTTCAAGGTCTGATATCCTTATAATAATCTATATATTCCCCTCCAAAAAGTCTTTGGAAGAACATACCAGGAGGCCCTTCCACCCCTGAACTCAAAACTACTGAATATGCCTCAGTTTTCAAGATCTCAGAAAATGGGATGGGCCTAAGTTTTTCTAGTGTGTTTTTAAACCCATCTAACAAACACCCCAATATCACAACATCTTGGCTGGCGGAGGATGAGTGTGCACCCTTTAAGGCTCAGGAGACTGCCTGCTGATCACCTCCTACACTGGGGAGTCAGGCTGGAGTGGACCAACTCCCACTGTAGAGACCATTGAGTCTCTGAAAAAGTAGGAGTCCGAGAAAAGGCGGAAAGAAACAAGTAGATACAGCTGCTTCTTTTCTTCCACATGCTCACTGCACATTGTTGTTGAGGATGCAGGGATCCACCTGGGAGGAAGAAAGGAAACACCATTTTAATTTGGTTAAGAACTAAAAGAAAACCCCACTTTAGGAATCCCTCCAAGTCAACTTCCTATAGAAGGCATGGGACAAACGTAGTGGTAAAATGACAATTCTTACCTCAGTGTAAGTAGGTGGTGGCATGAACTTGAACTCAGGAGCATACATAAAAATAGGGCTGTCTTGAGAACCATCTGTGTCATCTAGCAGAGGAGTGGTGGGGCTCTCCAAACGGTGATCTTCAGGAATGATATCCATATAGCAAGGAGGAGCTAGAGAAGAGAGTGCACGGGGATGAGAAACCGGGCCAAGAAATGCCTGCCCATTGCAATTTACAAACCCAAGTGGGTCAGAGGGTAAGATAAGACATTAGGTCTGGCTCACCTTCTGGGGTATCAGGGATGTTTAGATCTACCCAACTCATTTCGGAGCTGGTTCGGCTGGCCATGCTGGATGTCCGGCTGCTCAGACTTGACCCGCTCCTGCTGCCAATTACCAGGGGCAGGTCAAGAATAACTTTCTTGGAGCCAGGGACGCTAACATAAATCTAGAAAGGAAGTTGGGAGTTTGTTAGATTACAGGTCTGGAAAAAACACCACTGCTATTCTGACAGATGAACAATCTCTCTCCAATCTCACCCACTCACCAGCAGGAAATATTCAACACGCAGGATGTTGCAGCCCAGGATAGAAGGCCTGATCTTCTGCACCCGAAGGCTCTTGCCACGCCATGATGCACAGGTTCCTGAGATAATGTGATTGCCTCTAACTGATGACAACTTCTGTGTCAGCACCTTGGTTTGGCCATTGGCCAGGTAAGTATGGCGGGCTACGATGGCAGCTTTGGGAACCACGATTCGGGAACATGTATTCTCAAAGTCAGCATGGATGGAGATCTCATCACCTACCAACCAGAAAGATGAAAATCAAGCTAAGTACAGTCACAATGACTTTTCTTCTGTACCTGCCCCACCCTTACCCCCAAATCCAGTTTCTATTTTGTTAGTCTGCTATTTTTTAAGCACTAGGCTTTTACCTTCACAAAATCCTTTTCTGTCAATTCGGGCAGACACAGACACCTGCCCATCAGGAATGAACATGCAGGAAACTTTCTTCTCCTTTTTGGCAGACACTGGTGCCTATGTAAAATAGGAAGGAGAGGTTGTTATGAGACTTTCTAGAGATCCTTTCTCTGCTTTTAAGAATACGTTTTTATTTATTTTAGAGAAAGAGAAACATCCATCGGTTGTCTTGCCTCCCCCATATGTGCCCTGACTGGGGATTGAACCGGCAACCTAGGTGTGGCCCTGACTCGGAATGGAACCCGAGGACCCTTCCATGCGTGGAACAATGCTCCAACCAACTGAGCCACACGGGCCAAGGCTCTCTGCTTCTCTTTACTTTCCACTCCTTACCTAGATAGAACAGGCAGCTTTCCCTCCCACCTTGATGACTCAGGACTTCATTCCCTAAGGTGCTTCAATCTAATGCCCAATTTATGTGACTTATCATCCCTGGGACCCAAGAGAATAGAATCTTAAAATGAAACTCACCATTAAATCAGGAGTATTGATATCCACTAGATCCATCACTTCAAATTTTTTCTTTGTCTCTTGCGTTGGCTGACTGGGGCGATCAAGAAAAGCCTTTACCCAGTAGTCCACACACCCATATTTTCCTTTGAAGGATGTTCCCAGAGGCCTGTGTCAAAAAAGAAAAAAAATTAAAAATACTTTCCAAGATCAAATGGGGGGAAAGATTTTTCGATATAGAAAAGTCTAAGGATGCATTCAGCTGACACCTACCCCTCAGGAAGCTCAAAGCCGAACTTGTACTCATATTTGTTTCCAGGTCTCATGATAACCATCTCATTCTCACCTGAAGGGAGAGAAAAGCGAGTAGACATTAGGTTTCTTGTTACACTTAAAATGCACCTGTGTGACAAGGCATTCTCAGGCAGTATGCAAGAGTACTGAAGTACCCCATTTTCATCCACTATGTTCTTGAGAAATTCGGATGCATTTTGTTGGGCAAAAACCTGCAATGCCTTGCAACATTTAAAATGAAGCTGCTATCATCTCCAACAGAAAACAAGCGAAACAGAAACGTATGCATACAAAAGTATATTTAAATAGCTAAGGCAAAATCCTGCAAGATTACCTTCAGAACAGGGCACCATAAGAAACTGGGCAAATCCAGTCTCTTGCGGGGGGTGGGATGGAGGGTGCAAATTAAAATTTTAAAAGCTAGGGACGCACCCGGCCGGCCGGGGCGGTGTGGCCCAGTGGTTGAGCGTCCACCCATGCACCAAGAGGTCGCAGACCCCGGTCAGGACACAGGTTGTGGGCCAAATCCCCAGTGGGGGGCATGCAGGAGGCGGCCAACTTATGTTCTCTCTCATCAGTGTTTCTATCTCTCCCTCTCCCTTCCTCTCTCTAAAACCAATAAAGAAAAACAAACAAGTAAAAAGGTAGGGCCGCAAGACAAAATTCAAACCGCTCAACCTGAGCAACCTCCAGTATTTGGTATAAGGTCCATTTATTCAATTCTCCGCCCAAATCAGCTTTCACCCTCCAGCCAAGAGCCGCCAGGCTGCTCACCTGTGGGCTGGTCCTCCAGGAGGAGCGTGTCTTCGTAGCGCAGGTACTCCGAGGTCTGCTTGCACTGCTGGGACCCCTGCATCCACAGGACTTTGGCCACTCCACAAGCCAGGACCCTGACAGCTTTGACGCGGGTCACTTCACACACCTCGACCACCACTCGGCCGGTCACCTTCTCCCCGCTGCCGTACACCTTCTCGGGGTCGTTAAAGACCACCTCGAAAGACTTGATCTTCTTGAACATCACCATGATTGGGCTGGGGTGGCTGGAGAGTTGAAAACGGGAAGGAACAAAACCCGAAATCCACGGACCCTTTCGAGTGATTGAAGATGATTTCCCTCTTCAACTCACAAAAATGTTTGGGGGGGAAAAAAGTCAAAACAAGGTAAGCAGTTGGTTATGCCAAGGAATTTCAAGGGAAAAACACGCTCCTGCGGTTCCTCCAGCAGCTGGAGAAGCGCGCTGGCTCTGGCTGGTCGGGGAACGAGCTCACTCCGCGGAATCAGAAGCGAGTTTCGCCCGAGAGCCGGAAGCTGCTCTATATAGTAGCCGGGCTGGCACGGCCACGCGAGCGCTCGCCCTGGAGGCTCGTGCTGCCCTCGTGCACAGCCCTTCCATTGGCTGCCTGGTCCTTGTTTACCAGGAGCCTGGCCAATCAGTGAAGTCGCAGAGGTGCGTGGACAGCGTGTGCTCCTGGCGGGGAAAATAGTGCCTGTGCACCGCTGCCTGGCTGGGAGGAGGGGGCGGAGGGCTGCGGGGCGGCCTCGTGGGCTCAGAGGAAGGAAGGAGGACCTGGCTGACCCTAAAATGCACCCAGGGCCAGTGTCTTCCGAGGGTGGGTGCAGACGCTTCTGGGCTAGGGGCGGCGTTTTGGAGCTAAAAGGGAAAAATGTGTTTACTAGGGAATTTCTTGATATGCCGTAGCCAGGGCAGTTGATTTAGAGAGGCACCCCTTTATTCCCAGCTCACGCGTCGCGTGAAAAACAAGCAGTCCCAGAGCTCTAAGAATACATTAGGATGGGGCCGGGGACAGGGAGTGTCGGTGTTGCTCATCAGATAGACCCCTTTTGTCTTCCTCCTGCCCTGCATCTCTATTTAAGAAACAAACAAACAAAAAACAACTCTGTGAAGGCAAGGAGCACTTGTCACCAATTTTAAACCCCTCTTCAGTCTTCATTGGGAAGTGGGTGTGTGTGTAACTACCCATCGGCCTTTCCCCTCCCTTTCCCCCCGCTGGGGGCTCCCTGCTCTGGGCTCCAGGCCCTGGGCCTGTGCGGCTGTTCTTTACCCACTGTACCCGCCTGTCTGTTCTCTGGAACGGAAATACTAAGGGACTGTTTACATCCTCTTGCTTATCCTCTCATCTCTTCAGTTTCTACCTGCAAAGTTGGGAAACACTTTGTATGTGTTCCACCAGCTACCTCCTGACCTCTTTACTAAGATGTTCCTTAGGCTCTGCTTCCCTCCCTCCCTCCTTGCTTTTCCAGCAAAGGGGCCAAAAAGGATGCCTCTTTTCATTTTTTTCCTGAATTACTTTCACTCTTTTTATTTTTGGTATTTATCCTCTCTCCAACTCATTAATCAAAGGTATGTACTTAAAACTGTAGCCCATACACTTCCCAGCCTTCACATTAGTTAAAAGCAGCAAAGTTCTCAGTTCTCTGCCCTGGCCAGGTAGCTCAGTTGGTTAGAGCATCGTCCCAGTACACTAAGGTTGTGGGTTTGATCCCCACAATCAAACATACAAGAATTAACCAGTGAATGCAATAAATAACTGGAACAAATTAATATTTCTCTCTCTCTCACATTAATAAAAATGTTTGAAAAACCAGCAAAGTTCTTTTGTTTATAACCAAAGTGTTAGTGGACGAGATGGTCATACTCCTGTTTGAAGGAAGAATTTCTCTCTTTTAAAAGTTTTTTCCTAACCTGTTTAGAAATTGGTAAGAAAGGAAAGAGAAGACAGATTGGGTCATCAGAATATGATATGTCCAACTAAAGGAGACCCTAACTCCTCATCGTGTGTTGTCATTTGGCATTCTTGTCAGATGAGTCTTTCCCTGACTGGCCATGAAATGCCATAGAGCTGACTCCTAAGAACTTACTCATAAATACGATAAGAAAAATATGTATGCAGAGTTATAAGGATTCTTACCCCTTTGATTCTTGAGCCACTCCCATTTCTGTGTTGGGGCATCAGGAGATTATTAGCTCATTTCTTGTGCTGGACAGAGGAAGATAATGTCCCTAAGATTGAAATGGGGAAGTAAATAAGAAGTATTAAAATATACAGAGATCCACCCTATCAGCAAAAAGGGCTATTCATTGCTGTTAAGAATCCTTCTTCCTTATTCTCCCTAACTGGGTTGACATCCTAAGGCTAACAAGTTACAACTCAACCCCAATATTAAGCAAGCCCAAGAATCAGGCATCAAGTCTGTTGGAAACACCCACACCCACACACCTGCATCAACTTCCACAACAAAAAATGGAACATGTTGATCCTTAGGATTTGTGAATTTGAGGCAACAACCTGTTCTAGAAAGTTAACCAATGAAGCCTGAGTTGGTTGGGGTCAATCAACAATATTCATTGACTTACCTGTATCAGGGAAGATGGGACTTTCACTAGAAAGTAATTTTTAAAATTCAGACTTATGGCTTCTGGGAGAATTTTTAGTTTGATGAGTATAAAAGTGTACATAAAATAAAGCATCAAGCCCGGCCGGTGTGGCTCAGTAGATTAAGTGTAGTCCAGTGGACTGAGAGGTCTGGGTTTGGTTCCTGGTTGGGGCACATGTCTGGGTTGCAGGCTTAGTTTCGGAGAGTGGAGGTTGGCGTGCGGGGGGCTGCCAATCGATGTTTCTCTCCCCTTTCCTCTCTCTCTAGCAAATAAAAAAAATTTTTTTAAATGAAGCATCAAATGTTTACAAAGACATGCATGAATCAGTATTGTTAAACAGTGTGTGATATGTAACTAGGTAAATGTTGAGGGTATGGGAGAAGTGAGTATTAGCAGATTAGGGTGGTGTTGATTTGGACATCTGAGAAAAAGGAAATGCGGATACTTATTTGGTTACATCTATGAAGTATTGAATTTTTTAGTTTATAAAATTTTTCATATGTTCTGACTTGCTCTAAGTTCCTTTCTTAGGCTCCAGTTTCTTTGTTCTTTCCCATTTTGCAAAACGCAGTACAGACCACTTGTTTACTCTTTGTAGTGCCTGGGTTCCCTCAAATGCCAAAAATATTTAGCTTTGGCAGCAGTTGCTATGCTAACCAGGCCAGCAGCCAAGGCATGTTCTGCACTGGAACTCTCCTGGACAGAGTTGTTTACGACCTTTCACCCAGTAGTCTGGTATTCTGATAAAAATCTGCTCCCTGATTCTTCTGTCTCAGTTCCTGGGTGGAAGGAAGAAAAGAAATCTGAACTCTTGTCCTGAAAACAGGGTGCAAACACCTGAGGGGTGCAGGGGAGAAAAAGAGCAGGTCCAGGAGGAACAGCAAAGTTAGGGCTAAATCAAGCAGTTTTGCAAATTGGATCATCTTTACCTGTTTCTCCCCCACCCTCTTCAATCTCAGTGCCAGTAGGAAACAGTGGTGACTTGTTCTCTTTACTGGAGGTAGTTGAATAGGGAAGCCAAGACTTTCAGGGAGTGAAGCTGCAGCACCCTCAGTACTTGGTTACCAGTCAGAGACAAAGAACTGGTTGCATTTCTTTCTTTAACCTCTGGCCTGACAAACATTTAAGAAACCTAAAGACTCCTAGTTCCTAAGGGAAAACAAACCACTTGGTCTTTTTTTTTTAATTTAATTTTTTTTATCCTCACCCGAGGACATTTTTTTTTTTCCATTTTTTGTTCAGATAGAGTGGGTGGTAGTGAGAGAGAGGAAGAGAGAGAGAGAGAGAGAGAGAAACATCGATGTGAAAGGGACACATCGAGTGGCTGCCACCCACACGGGCCTACCAGGGCCGGGGACAAACTGCAACCGAGGTACGTGCCCTTAGCAGGAACTGAACCCGGGTCTCTCTGGACCGCAGGCCAACGCTCCAACCGCTGAGCCAAATCGGCCAGGGCCACTTGGTCTTTTTAATCACTTCTGTCACCTCCACAAAGAGGAAGCTTCCCTTTTACTCTTTTTTTTTTTTTTTTTGGTATGTGCCCCTAGCAGAAACTGATCCCCGGACTCTCTGGTCCGCAGGCTAACACTCCAACCACTGAGCCAAACCGGCTGGGGCCCCTTTTACTCTTAACCATCACCCTTTCTCATTTTCCCTAGGGAATGTCAGATTAGAGGCAAATAGAGCTTTGAAAGAGAATGTGGAATTGACTGCTCAACTGTGTGTGTGCCTCCAACTTATAGATAAATAAGAATACATTAATAATTGTAGAGCATTTTGAGTTTGAAATGTTTTTTTTGTCATTTATTGAGCATCTGTAACCGACCGAGTACTTTACGTAATTATTTCAATGATATTTTATTTGTAATGTGGACAAAAAAGGGCCACATACTAAACTTGACAAGTTCAGGGGAGGCCTGCCTGGCAGTCTTACAAACACAGAGACCTAAAGTCACCACAAAGCATGGTCTGAAATTAAAACTCTTTAACTAAAAGCAGTTCATGGCAGGTAGTCATGTCCTAGGCTAGAATCTTCCCTGACAAAAGTCAGTCTTTACCTTAATTGAGCCTGTCTATTGTCTTTTGTATCTATGTAACACACCTTTGGAATGTCAAGGTAGCTCCCTTTTTCCAGACCCCTTCAGGCCCCAGATCCCCTCATTGTTATTGTTATCCTGTTGATCCTTGACTGTTAATTTTCCTGTACCCACCTATGAAAAAGTAGTGTGTGTCTATCCTTTTACTTTTTATCCAATCGCAGAGGTCCCCCATCTGCTTTGCATTTTCCCACCTCCCTAATTAATCTATTACCAATGCATTTCCTGTAACCCATTTACGCCTACTCTTTTGACTAATGTATAAAATAAGGTGCAAAACTGCCATTTTCTGGAGCATTTTCTCAGTCTGTTGAGATTCCCTGGTAATTGCCGTGAGTTTGTCTCAAATAAACTTGTAAAAATTCTCTATAGGTCTGAACGTCTCTTACATTGACAATGAGTCAATCTGTCATCTTGCTCTAGAAAGGATTTAAGGTTAGATTATTTCATTTAATTCTTATAACCCTGTAACTCTGGGATTAAGTCAGGTTTAAAGGGTTAAGTAATTTGCCTGAGGTCACAGATTTTGTAAGCAGAGCAAAATAGAGTACATACAGTACTTTATATCTGACACGTCTGAGCCCAGGTGTCTGATGTAAAGTACTGTATGTACTCTTTCCAATGTGTTGTTCTGCCTGTCAAGGCTTTGACGTGTAGTACATTGTTTGATTTTCACTGTACGTAAAGGATTCAGGGCAAGACAGAAAACTTGAGAAATAAAGAGGACTCTGGCAGTCTGGTTTTTTATTTTTTATTTTTTTAAATCAGTTCCATTATTTTATTTAAATGACTTGCC